TTCCAGGCGCCGCCGTTCTGCGAGGCGGTCCACGACGGGGGGCTCTTCCTCTGCCCCGAGCCAGATTCAGATAGGGTGTACTCCTAGCCACAGCTCCCTTACCCACGTGGCCCTGTGTAGACCCTGGTCGCGGAAGCGGCTGGCATGTTTGCGGCCATGCCACTTTCTACCAAACCCGCCCAGTTTCCAACCCTCGCCTCAGCCTTGCAAAGCCATGGAGAGCTGGCCAACAACAGGGCCCCTATCTGTGATGGGGCCGGCAACGCCAGCTCCGCGGATTGGACTGGCTCAAATGGGCATCCCAGCGCGACCTGCCCAAACGAGTCTTTGCACACCTTTCACAAAGCAAGCCAGATCACCCCATCCCTGAAGAAGACCAACTCGAGCTCATTCGGATAGCCTGCGAGGTCATGGAGTGGGACTACGATTCCATGACGCAAGCGGCCGAAGGACAGCCATTTCGCCTTACTCTCATGCAAGCCTTTGCAGATCTCCTCAACGACCCGGACAAAGATCTCCCAGCCCTGCTCCGCGTAGGGGTGCACGCGGGAGTCTTTGATCCCATTGAGCCCCATCAGGACTAGAGGTCTGCGAGGGGAACTGGAAGCCGGCTGAGGCAGACCCTGACACAGTACGAAGCCTTTTAGCAGAAGAAGAAGCTGCAGGATGGATGCAGCCCGTGCCAGGCGGCCTCCAGGAAGCGAAACGACTTTGGCCCAAGGGAATAGCCGTTGGCAAGCTTAGCCTCGTGAAAGCGGAGAACAGAGACCCTCGACTCGTCTTGGATAGCACGGTCTGCCAAGTCAACCCCATGTGCCGCATCCCAGAAGCGGTGGCTATGCCTACAGTCAACGATGTCCGAGCCACATTCATGCCTTCAGACCCTCGGGGATCATTCCTCGCAGCCAGTGTCGATTTCAAAGCAGCCCACAAGCGTATCAAGGTCCACCGCTCGGAACAAGGTCTCCTCCTATTCATGTTTGAAAAGATCTTGTACAGAGTCGTCGTTTGCCACTTCGGAGCCAAGTTTTCAGCCTACTGGTGGCAGCGAGTGGGAGGACTTATCACACGCATTGCACACCATGCGCTAGCCTTCGCTCCCCACAAAGCCTGGCTGTATGTCGATGATCTCCTGTCAGCCCTGCTCCGAGCCTTCGCACCTGAACTCCTGTTCCTTCTCATAGCCACCCTGTCAAGCCTTGCCGCTGGAAAAAGGCCTCAGCAGGGGACAGCCTGTCTGGTGCGGTTGGCACTTTAATTTTCGCCTTGAAACTGTGGAACTTTGCGAGACCAAACGAGCCAAACTTTGTGGACAGCTCAAGGCCTTGCTGGCACGCAAGAAGGTCCCCAGAAAAGACCTAGAAGCCTGTGTCGGCCTCCTCATGTGGGCGACAACCGTCAGCAAGGTTTCGGGCCCCTCTGTACAGTGTCTTGAACAGCCCGCCGGGCAGCAATTGCCCTATCTCCCCTCGGATGTGGCTAGCCTTCCTCCACAGCCTTGACTCCAGAGCAGTCATCTGCTGGCTCATACCAGGAGTCAACCTGCCGCTTAAGGCCCGGATCATCGAGGTCGGCAGTCGACCAGTCCACTGCAAAGCCGACCTCCCCCCACAGCCTAAGTCTTCGGGACCCACTTGGGTCCGCATCTCTGATCCCACTTGCCCTGAGATCAAGCTGACCAACACTGGCCATCCCAACCACCAGCCTTTCCCTTCCGCCCCTGGCCCCGTGCCTTGCCAGAGCTGACGCCATGGCCGAAGGGGACAGAGTCGGAATCGGAGGATGGATCACCACCAAACAAAGCATGGCCTGGTTTGCCGAAGCCTGGACCATGGAAGAGGTCAGGAGCACATGGCCCTTCCTTACCAAGGATGCCCAGAAATACATTGCTTGCTTTGAGACGCTCGCTCAGCTAGCACTAGCCATGACAGCCCGAGAACGCCACGCCTTCTCGCAATTTTCGGTCTGCCTACCTTCGCAGAGCGACAACACGCCCTCCGAGGCAGGCATTAACAAGCTTTTCACTACTGGCTGGCCGCTCTCGCAGTTCCTTCAGCTGATAGCATCATGGTCATCCTGCCGTGGCGTTGACCTACAGGTGTCTCACGTTGCAGGAGCACACAATCAATGGGCAGACGACCTCAGCCGAGGTCGGCTCCAAGCCTTTAGCCACAGACCGCAAGAACGGGTGAGAATCAGCCTTCACCGCCTTGCCTCTGCGGCCTCTCAGGCCACGTGGTCTGGACCCCCAAACACAACCAGCCCATTGTTGCCCAGACCGGAGTGACGGCTTCGCCGAGACCGACTCCCGCCAGCCATGCTGAAGCAAAAAGAGGACCGCTGCCATGCCGGTTGCTTGCCCCGCACCACTCTGCATGCTCCTTGGCCATTCTTTTCCTGCCTTGCTCAGGTCCACCTCCACCGCCCGCGGTCGGGGATACTTGCCTGCTGCCTTACCGGTTGGATCTGTCCCTGAAGTGGGGGAGTTTATGCCTTGGCT